TATAGGACAGGAAATTGTCAATAATTTATCACTATAATTTTGCCTCCGCATGGATACAGAAAAATTAGATCTTTTGTCTCCGCCGCCACGTCTTGGGTCATTTCCATTAGCTCTCAGATGACTTTTTCATTGAACCGCAAGGAGTGATGTTAATAAAAGATTGTATTGTGGATTGTATAGTTGCATCCAAGCTGCGGCAGAGAAAATAAAATAGGGCATTTAATTCTCTCCATTGGCAGAACTGCAAGTTAGTTATGCCAGGAGGGACAGAAGAAGACAATCCTTTGATTTCCACATTAAAATTGTTTCAGATTAACTTGTTTACTAAATACTGGTTTAGATTCAAACCCAGGAGGACAAAAATAGGTGTGGACACATGTTTTTTTTTCTTCGTGTGAGGAGCGACTTGAGAAACTGCAAGTCACTTCTTTTTTTTTTTTAATAATCTTTATTCAGTTTTCCATACATATAGTTAAAAGAAATCATTATGGTTAAAAAAAAAAAGGGAGAGAGAACAGGGGGAAGAGGGAGGAAGGGGAAAAGAAAGAGGAGAGGAAGAGAAGTAGAGCTAGGTAGTTGGCAAAATAGGGTTAAGGAATTGGGATAAGGGGAGGGAAGAATGGGTGAGTGTAGATATAGGTGGGAAATCAGAAAGAAAGGTGCAGAGAGGTGTAGAGGTGTTTTAAAAAATAGGAGCCACAAGATGACGTTCCCCTCTTCCTTCGGTCCATCTTCCTGGTGTCTTTGGCGGGAAGATTCCTTTTCATTCCCATCTTCTCCGTTTTCTCTTTCTTTTCTTTTGCTTTTTCCTTGGGCTGTGGGATTTTCTTTCCTCCCATTTTTGGTTCTAAATCATTTCTGTTTGAAGTATTCTTCTACCAATGTCCAGTCCGTTTCATTTTCTATTTGTCCTTTGTATTTTTTAATTAAGTACCCTAGTCTGTCCATATTTTTTTACTTCCATCAGTTTTATTTCCCATTCTTCCACCTCAGGGATCTCTTCTTTTCTCCAGTATCTAGCGTAGCAAATTCTCGCTGCTGTTACCGCCAGAAAAATAAGCTTGTCCATATTTCGGTCCATTTTCTCGTCCGTAATCCCTAATAGGAATATTTCTGGGGATAATGGTATTTTTATCTTCAATATGGATTGTAATTTTTCTTGAATTCCTCTCCAATAATTTTTGGCTTTTTTGCAATGCCACCACATATGATAATGGGTGCCCTCTGTCTCTCCACATTTCCAACATTTAGTATTTAGGTGTCTATAGATTTTCCCTAGTTTTTGTGGTGTTAAATGCCATCTATAGAATAGCTTAATCCAATTTTCTTTTAAATCGTATGCTTTTGTATATTTTAATTTCTTTGTCCAAATATTCTCCCATTCCGCCAAACCTATTGATCTCCCAATGTTTTTGGCCCATTTTATCATGCATTCCTTTATTTTTTCCTCCTCTGTGTTCCATTCTAACAGTTTTTTATATATTAGTGATATTGTTTTCTTCCCTGTTTTTTAGTATTTTATCCCAACTATTCTCTTTTTGCATGAATCCAATTTTTTTATCCATCGTAAAATATTCTTTGAGTTGTCTATACTGTAGCCAATTCACATTCGGGTAGTCACTTCTGATGTGAGAGAATTAGCCATCTGCAAGGACATTGCCCAGGGGACACCCGGATGTTTTGATGTTTTACCATCCTTGTGGGAGGCTTCTCTTATGTCCCTGCATGGGGAGCTGGAGCTGACAGAGGGAGCTCATCTGTGCTCTCCCCAGATTCAAACTGTAGACCTGTCAGTCAGCAGTCCTGTCAGCACAAGGGTTTAACCCATTGCACCACTGGGAGCTCCAAAGTAGGTGTGGACATATTGTGTATGTTGTGGAAAAGAGGGATGGAGATGCCTGTGGGTGCATTTACACCGTAGAATTAATGCAGCTTGACACCACTTTAAGTGCTATGGCTCAAAGTGATGAAAACCTGGGAATTGTAGATTTGCAAGCCCTTTAGCCTTCTCTGCCATTTGGTGCTTCACCAAACGACAACTCCTAGAATTCCATGGCATTGAACCATAGCACTTAAAGTGGTGTCAAACTGCATTAATTCTACAATGCGGATTCAACTTGATTGCGAACTCAAATAGAGGTCTGTCTCATTGGCCAACATCTTACTGTACAATGGGGAGAAAGGAGAAATCAAGTTGAGCTTCTTTGGATATAAGTACGAAAAAAGAGAGCTATAATATGGATATATTGTCGAAGGCTATCATGGCCGGAATCACTGGCTTGTTGTAGGTTTTTTCGGGCTATATGGGCATGTTCTAGAGGCATTCTCTCCTGAAGTTTCGTCTGCATCTATGGCAAGCATCCTCAGGGACCTCACTACCTCACTACCTCAGGGGCCTCACTACTATTTGGAGTAGTTTGCAGTAGTTCTCCACGTAACATCTGTTGGATTTTCTTACTGATGAACCAACCTGGACACAGAATATTATTTGAGAAGGCTGGACCAGTCTAACAACCACCATGTCAGATTACACAGAGAACCTATTGAACATGTGGACAATTTCAACCGAAAGGAAGAAACCATGGAAACGAACAAAATCTGGCTACCAGTATTAAAGAACTTAACAACAAATAAAGTCAGAGAAACTCCAGACAAGAAACAACAGGCACATAAAATCACTCTCAACAAAAGATTCCCCCAGGCGCTTCCAAGCCATTGAATGCAAATCAAGGTGATCAGCTGAAACATTCACAGCTAGCCCCAACAGACATAAGTCCTTTGTCTCACCCTGGTCATTCCACAGATATATAAACCCATTTTTCCTACTTCCAACAGACCTCACTACCTCTGAGGATGCTTGCCATAGATGCAGGCAAAACGTCAGGAGAAAAATCGCCTCCAGAACATGGCCATATAGCCTGGAAAAATCTACAACAACCCTATAATATGGATGTTTTCATCTCCAAATACAGACATGGCACCCAGAGAGAGAGGATGAATAAAAAAAGCTTGTTAACATAGCTAACTATTTCACATAAATGAATATTTTAAAAATTTGAGGTCAAACTGCCACAATAAAGCACATGCAGAAGACATTCTTATGTGTATGGCTTTATGAATTGATGCCTGCTTGGCACAGTTTATGAAAATGGGAGCTGGACAGGGAGGCCAGTAGAAAGGGAATGGAGAAATGAACTGGCAAAATATTTGCTGAGAAGAGCATGAGCACTGCAGCCATCGTTTGAAAGGCTCTGCATTACAGAGAGTAATTGGTGCAGGAAACCTCTTTGGCACTCGGTGATGCTTGGCTTTTGGCTCTTGTGTTGGAAACCTTGGACTCATTCATGGCTGAAGCCACATCAAGAGTGAAGGGCAAGTGACTCCAATGTGGCTCCAAACAACAGGACTGGCTGGGAGGAGGAGGTTTGGTGGTTTCGCAAACCGCAGCAACAAAAGCGGGTGCCCGGTACTTTCTGGTGGGTTTAGCAAAGCCGCAGAGCAAGATCAAGGGCCTGCCTGCTTAACAAACCGGAAAATATCTCCCACGAGGCAAGTTTTGACCAGCGACATGGTCAAGTTTCTGGCTTGCCAAGGATCACTTGGGTATTTTGCAGCTTAAGAGGACGGGCATTGTTCGCTGGGCAAAGCATGACCACAGCCATTGTTTCCAGCCTATGGCAATGGCTGCCAAGTTCAGGCTGTGAGTCAGTACTTTTGAGAGTATCGGAAGCAAGAGTTTTGCTCAAAGCAGCTCTTTCTGTAATAAGTGATCCTAATGTTAAAATATATTAATTTTATTAGATTTTCACATTTTATGAAGTTTTGCAATCTCGAAATAACAGCCTTCCCCCTCGGTGCAATGGACTTAATTTCCAGTAGTCCAGGCAGGATACTACATGTTCCAAAACACCTGAAGAGGAGATGCGTGCACACCAATCGCAGACAAAAAGCCCATCTACAAATCCCCTAAGAAGGCATTTTCCACATTGTCTTAAAACTATACATGTCTTCTTTAAGAAAATCATTTTATGAAACTTACATGGTCAAAGCTTTTTTGGGATCTCCACATATATATTATGTACTAGAAATCCCAATAACTACAAATCCCAAATGTCAAGGTCTATTTTCCCCAAATCTCCATCTGTGTTCATATTTGGGCATGTGGAATATTTGTGCCAAGTTTGGTCCAGATCCATCATTGTTTGAGTCCACAGTGCTCTCTGGATGTAGGTGAACTACAACTCCCAAACTCAAGGTCAATGCCCACCAAACCCTTATAGTGTTTTCTGTTGGTCATGGGAGTTCTGTGTGCCAAGTTTGGTTCAATTCCATCGTTAGTGGAGTCCAGAATGCTCTTTGATTGTAGGTGAACTATAAATCCCAGCAACTACAACTCCCAAATGACAAAATCAATTTTGAGTGATGGTCACTCATTAGGGTAGTAGGTGTCTTGTGGCCAAATTTGGTGTCAATTGTCCAGTGGTTTTTGAGTTATGTTAATCCCACAAACAAACGATATTTGCCAAGTTTGGTCCAGATCCATCATGTCTGAGTCCACAGTGCTCTCTGGATGTAGGTAAACTACTCCAAACTCAAGGTCAATGCACACCAAACCTTCCAGTATTTCTGTTGATCATGGGAGTTCTGTGTGCCAAGTTTGGTTCAATTCCATCATTGGTACAGTTCAGAATGCTCTTTGATTGTAGGCTAACTATAAATCCCAGCAGCTACAACTCCCAAATGAGAATTATAGAGTTGGTCCATCCAGTCCAACCCCAGAAAATACTGGAAGAATTTAGTGGGCACTGACTTTGAGTTAGAACAGGCATGGGCCAACTGAAAGGAAGGGGGCTGAGGCTGTTAGGAATTGTGGGAGTTGAAGTCCAAAACATCTGGAGGGCCCAAGTTGGCCCATGTCTGTTCTAGAGGCAGCCAAAACTGCCAGAGGCCTAAAGTGCTATCTCTGAACTACACTTCCCAGGGTTCCATTCGACGTTGTCATGGCAACGAACAAGAGCCCGTGGCAGTTCTGGAACAGCGCAGTGCGATCGGACCTTAACTTGCATTTACACAAGTTCCAATGTGATTGACAGCTGGGCAACCCAATGCCGTATAAAGACATCCATGTTCACCTCACCTTTCCTCCAATCAGTATCGAGCACATGCTCCCGCCCTCCCAATAAGGGGTGGGTCCCTTTTCTCCTGTCAGTCGAGGCGCCTGTTCCGCCATCTTGTGTGTGGCGCCACATCGCTTCCAACGTTTGCGACCCCGCCTGACCGCTTCTATAGTTTGTGACCCCACGCCGGACCGCTTCACCTGAATCTATATTTTCGGAGGGAAAGGGGAACGAAGAGCGCTTTCCCCAAATAGAGGTCGAAGGGTGGGGAAGGGAGGTCGCTGTGGAGACGCGCCCAAGATGGCGCCTGCGTCACACCCGTGCGTTGCCAGCGTGCGCGTGACGTCAGGGCGCTTCTGGGCATGGGCAGGTGGGAAGAGCAGGGCTAAGTTTGGCTGCTGTTAGTCGGAGGAGGGAGTGGACGCTGGAGGTTGGAGGAGGAGGAGGAGGAGGAGGAGGCAGCAGCAGCAGCTGGGCAAGCCCTCCTTCTCTTTCTCTCCATTGCTTTGGCCAAACCTGGCCTGGCCCAGCCTTGCCTCTCTTTCCTGGAGCTGGAGGAGGAGCAGCTGCCCTTGCCATGGCTGCTGCTACTGCCACTGCCACTGCTGGTGCTGCTGCTGAGGACTCCAGCTCTCTGCCTTGGTCCATCAACAAGGATGACTATGAGCTGCAGGAGGTGATTGGTGAGTGATTTGGGGCCTAGCCTTCCTTCCTTCCTGAGGCACAACTCATCCCTCCCATTGACCATCTCCCTGGCACCCAAAGGCAAGGGCATAGAATCAGAGAATCATAGAATCAAAGAGTTGGAAGAGACCTCATGGGCCATCCAGTCCAACCCCATTCTGCCAAGAAGCAGGAATATTGCAAGGAGGCAGGCAGACCCCAGCCTCCTTGGAGGAAAGTGGAAGAGAAATATCATAATAGTCACCACACTGCAAGTGGGCATGGAAAGCACCATCACACACACTGCAAATGGAATTGTTATGATGTTTAATCATTATTATATTCATGATATGCTGTTTTCTCTCTCTTAACAGACCCTTAACTGGTGAACTATTACATATTATATGTATATGTGTGTGTGTGCATATATATATATATATATATATATATATATATATATAGTATTATGCTTTTTCTCGCTTAACAGATTCTTAACCGGACTCTTAACTATATATATATATATAGTATTTATATGCTGCTTTTTCTCGCTTAACAGACTCTTAAGTGGAAAATTATTATATATCATATCTATATAGTATTTATATCCTGCTTTTTCTCGCTTAACAAACTCTTAAGTGGAAAATTATTATATAGATTTTATGTACTGCTTTTTCTCGCTTAACAGGCATAAGTGGAAAATTATTATATATTATTTATGTGCTGCTTTTTCCCGCTTAACAGACTCTTAAGTGGGAAATTATTATATATCATATATATATATATATATATATATATATATATATAGTATTTATATGCTGCTTTTTCTCACTTAACAGACTCTTAAGTGGAAAATTATTATATATTATTTATATGCTGCTTTTTTCATTTAACAGACTCTTAAGTGGAAAATTATTACATATCAATATATATAGTATTTATATGCTGCTTTTTCTCACTTAACAGACTCTTAAGTGGAAAATTATTATATCAATATATATAGTATTTATATGCTGCTTTTTCTCACTTAACAGACTCTTAAGTGGAAAATTATTATATATTATTTATATGCTGCTTTTTTATTTAACAGACTCTTAAGTGGAAAATTATTACATATCAATATATATAGTATTTATATACTGCTTTTTCTCACTTAACAGACTCTTAAGTGGAAAATTATTATATCAATATATATAGTATTTATATGCTGCTTTTTCTCACTTAACAGACTCTTAAGTGGAAAATTATTATATATTCTATATAAAGAGATATACATATATATAGTATTTATATGCTGCTTTTTCTCGCTTAACAGACTCTTAAGTGAAAAATTATTATATATTCTATATAAAGAGATATACATATATATAGTATTTATATGCTGCTTTTTCTCGCTTAACAGACTCTTAAGTGAAAAATTATTATATATTCTATATAAAGAGATATACATATATATAGTATTTATATGCTGCTTTTTCTCGCTTAACAGACTCTTAAGTGGAAAATTATTATATATTCTATATAAAGAGATATACATATATATAGTATTTATATGCTGCTTTTTCTCACATAACAGACTCTTAAGTGGAAAATTATTATATAGTATTTAAGTGCTGCTTTTTCTTGCTTAACAGAGTCTTAAGCGGCAATATATATATATATATATAGCGCTTTTTCTCTCTTCACAGGCTCAAGTGATCTCTCTCTATATAATTTCATTATATTGTTTATGTGTGTGTGTGTGTGTATGTATATATATATATATATATAGTGCTTTTTCCCTCTCAACAGACTCTTAAGTGCCAAACTATCTATCTATCTATCTATCTATCTATATATATATATATATATATATATATATATATAATATTTATATGCTGCTTTTTCTCTCTCAGCAGACTCTTAAGTGGCAAACTATATATATATATATATATATATATATATATATGTGCTGCTTTTTCTCTCTCAGCAGACTCTTAAGTGGCAAACTATATATATATATATATGTGCTGCTTTTTCTCTCTCAGCAGACTCTTAAGTGGCAAACTATATATATATATATATATATATATATATAATATTTATATGCTGCTTTTTCTCTCTCAACAGACTCTTAAGTGGCAAATATTATATGTTCTATCTATAAATATATATCAGTATTATAATGAAAAATAATACATATATATATTTCATTATATTGTATTTATATGATGCTTTCTTCTCTTAACAGACTCTTAAGTGGTGAAGTACTATTATTATATATTATGTGTCTGTGTGTATATATATTCACACACACATACATATGTAACTAATAATTGTATTTATATGCTGCTTTTTTAACAGACTCTTTAAGTGGCAAACTATTATCATATCGTATTTATATGCTGCTTTTCCTCTTAACAGACTCTTAAGTGGTGAACTATTATTATATATTATATGTGTGTGTGTATATATAAACAATAATTCATTATATTGTATTTATATGCTGCTTTATCTCTCTTAAACTCTTAAGTGGTAAACTGTTAGTATTACTATCTTATATGTATATAGATATATATGTCATTATTATTACATTTATATGTTGCTTTTTCTTAACAGACTGTTTAAATGGTGAACAGTTATTGTTGTTATTATTATTTGTATTTATAACTTTCTTCTCTCTGAAAGGAGACTCTTTAAAACTACAAAATAAATAATAACAATAATAATTTAAAAATAATACAATAACCATGCTGGAAGTGGTACAATATATAAAATAATACTTGGCCACTTAAGAGTCTGTTGAGAGAGAAAAAGCTGCATATAAATACAATAATATAATTAAATATTAAATACATATACATACATACACACATATTCTAAAACCTAAAGGCCATAAGCACTGTTTGATATTTTAACTGTTTAAACCGCTAACAAACTTTTAAAAATACATAAAACATTATATGACAACCCTATACCCCTCGCTCTTTGTACTAAATATGCTTTTTTTAGTTGGTTGGTGGTGTTTCTTGCCTATTTGCGCACATGCTTTTGCTGCATTTGTGTAGAATAAAAAGACTGAGAAGAAGGAGAATTCTGGAAAGGAAAGCTTTATGTGTGCATGAGCCCCAGGGATTGTGTGCATTTTTATGATTTTTGGAGCTGAAGGGGCCAGCTGTTTCACACCTGGATTGCACACATTGTGTATGCGTTGCACACTTGGGTAGCACATATTGAGAGTGTTTGTGTCTGTTCCTGAGAGTGCCAGAGTCACTTCGCTCTTATCCTCTGTGCTCCTGGGCTGTAGAAGCTACCTTGAGTCTCCTTTAAGAGATATACTAATAATAATAATACTAATATAATGCTAATAATAATAAAACAGGGTGGGTCATTTTGCTCTTGTGACTGTGCGCTCTCTACCCCTGATAGTTGGAGTTGCCTTGAGTCTCCTTTAAGAGAGGAAGTGGGTGATAAATATTATAATAACATGATGCTACGGCAGTGTTTCTCAACCTGGGGGTTGGGACCCCTGGGGGGGGTCATGAGGGGGTGTCAGAGGGGTCGCCAAAGACCATCAGAAAACTCAGTATTTTCCCTTGATCATGGAGGTTCTATGTGGCCCAATTCTATCATTGGTGAAGTTCATAATGCTCTTTGATTGTAGGTAAACTATAAATCCCAGCAACTACAACTCCCAAATGTCAAGGTCTATTTCCCCCAAACTCCACCAGTGTTCACATTTGGGCATGCTTACTATTCATGCCAAGTTTGGTTCTGATCCATCATTGTTTGAGTCCACAGTGCTCTAGGGATGTAGATGAACTACAACTCCCAAACTCAAGGTCAACGCTCATCAAACCTTTCCAGTATTTTCTGTTGGTCATGGGAGTTCTGTGTGCCAAGTTTGGTTCAATTCCATCATTTGTGGAGTTCAGAATGCTCCTTGGTTGTAGGTGAACTATAAATCCCAGCAATTACAACTCTCAAATTTGGGCGTATCTGGTATTTGAGCCAAATTTGGTCCAGTTAAAGAGAATACATCCTGCATATCAGATATTTGCATTATGATTCGTAACAGTAGCAAAATGACAGTTGTGAAGTAGCAACAAACATAATTTTATGGTTGGGGGATCACCACAACATGAGGAACTGAATTAAGGGGTCACAGCATTATGAAGGTTGAGAAACACTGTGCTACGGTATTGTAAATAATAATAATAATAAAATAATAATAAAAAAATAAAGGCAGTTATTCAGCTGTGACTTTTGGCCTACCTTGTAACAGTAGCATTAATAATAACAAGCATTTCCTTGTGATGTCCTGACTGTGGAGCAGTTTGTGAAATGGAATAATAAAGTCAATGTAAGGGGGTGTGTATGCGCAGGCATGCTTCGGCCATGCGGCCTTATCCAAAGCGTGTCCTTTTTTTAAGGAGTGTAAATGAGTACGGCTTTTCCCTAGAGAATTGTTGAATTTGCAGCTACATCACAAGGCAAGCAGGGACCTCTGTGTTCCTTTCATCTGGCAAAAAGGCCGAGGGAGCATTTCTATGTCTGCTCTTCTGTGTCTGTCTGCTCTTGGTAGTGACAGGCAAACCTCCTCCTAGTAACTCTGGGTGGTGCCGGGCTTCACCGATAGTTATTTTCTGTGTGTCTGATGCCTTCCAATTCTGGAAACACTGCTTTTTGTATGTGTCGTTCATTAGAAGGAGCCCAGGAATCCATGCCGATTATATTTCAGGAATCTCTCTTTAAAATAAGACTTTGTAAAACGTATTTGCAAAAGACAACTCTCTTGCAAAGTGTGTGCTTTGGGGAACAGGGCTATATTGTGCCAAAATAATAATCTTTGGGGAATTTCATGACCTCTCCGGAAGCAGGATTATTAAGTGTAAGTAAAAAACCATTGTACCAAACAGTTTTGATACACTTTTAAATCAGATTGGGATCTTATTATTAGATTATAGTCGACTAGCTGACATGTATAGTTATGGTGCTGGTTCTCTACGCTTGCTCTTGTGTGGCCATATAAAGCAATACAGAA